CCACTGCCTTCGAGTCAGTGTCTGATTGAAATGGTGGTGTCCTGTTCCCATGGCCATCCATTGATTGGTGCCTGATTTTTTGAGCTCCTCATTTATTCCTCTAAAATCCATTGCATGGTTGGCTGTCCCAATCATCAGAACTTCAAGCCACAGCTTCCGTATAAGAAAAGCATGTGTGCCAAAAACAAGACTAAGACTTGGAAAGTATCATAGACCATACATACATTTCGCTTGTGGGTGAACTCAAGCTGAACTACTCCCCCCATTCCATTGTTGTTCCCATCCTGTAGCTAGCTGCTCTTTCCTCGTCTAACCAATATGGCTGCCAAGCTTGGGCATCTCGCCCGAGCCGCTGCAGCAATACTCTGCCTGTTGATTTTCCATGTAGCACTGTCTGATTCCCTTGCTAAGGCGAGTGTATCAGGTGGGACTGGAACCTGCATCAGCTGGGAGCGGGATGCGCTTCTGTCCTTCAAGGCAGGCCTTCTCGACCCTGCTGGCCGTCTCTCGTCATGGCAAGGTGAAGATTGTTGCCAGTGGGAGGGAGTCCAGTGCAGCAGCAGAACAGGCCAAGTTGTCAGGCTCGACCTCCGCAACACCTACAAAGATGGCAACAACAAGTACACCAGCCTGAACTTGTCGAGAGATGAGATGAGCTCTTCTTTGGCTGATTTGCAACAGTTGAGGTATCTTGATCTGAGTGGGAATAACTTCAGTCGCACAAGCATACCTATGTTTGTGGGCTCTCTGGAGAACCTAAGGTACCTCAACCTCTCATGGTCAGGCTTTGGTGGGAGAATACCTTACCAACTCGGCAATCTCTCAAATTTGCAATATCTTGATGTTAGAGGGAATAATTACTATTATCTTGATAGCAATTATTCCAACCTGTATGTGGTGGATCTTGCATGGTTGAAGCATCTCCCATTGTTGAGTAATCTTGACATGAGCGGTGTGGACCTCAGTTCTGTGAGGGATTGGTTCAACATGGTTAACATGCTTTCTTCTCTGAAAGTGCTTCGCTTAGAAGACTGTGGCCTTACCAGCACGGTGTCTGATACTTCAAAAGCAAACCTCACACATCTCGAAGTCCTTGATCTGTCAGCCAACCTGTTTAACACATCACTAGAACACAGTTGGTTTTGGGATCTCACAAGCCTTAAGGAGCTTCACCTCTCCCAGGGCGAGTGGCATGGACATATTCCTCAAGAACTAGGAAACATGACGTCCCTTGAAGTCATAGATTTTAGTAAAACTGATCTTCTGGGTTTGATACCAAGTAACTTACAAAAGTTGTGCAATCTGAAAGTGCTAAATTTCGAAGATGTCAACATTAATGCAAGCATTGGGGAGTTTATGGATCGATTTCCTAGGTGCTCATGGACTACATTACAAGTGTTGTCATTAGCGAATACAAATTTGACAGGAAACCTACCAATCTGGATTGGGAACATGACCAGTCTCAGTGATCTTTTAGCCAGAGAAAACATGATAACTGGTGGTGTACCACTAGGAATTGGAGCACTTGGTAACTTGACAGATTTGGATCTCGGCTACAATAAACTTAATGGTGTGGTCACGAAGGATCATTTTTCTGGCTTATTGAGTTTAGAGTCTCTGGACTTTGAAGGCAACTCCTTGAAAATTGATATTGAACCAAATTGGGTTGCTCCTTTTAGACTAAAGAGAATAAACTTACAGTCATGTTCAGTGGGGCCCCGTTTTCCAGGGTGGCTTAGATGGCAGACCGACATGGATTCTGTTCTTCTTGATTATACAAATTTGGATGATGTTATTCCTGATTGGTTCTGGGTGACATTTTCCCGAGCTCAGTACTTGTACGCACGAGGAAATATGTTGCGTGGTTCATTACCGGCAAATCTACAGCACATGTCAGCTTTAGCTATAGCCCTCGGGTCCAATAACCTTACAGGTCAAGTTCCATGGCTCCCTATAAATATATCATTCTTGGATTTGTCTTCAAACTCTTTCTCAGGGCTATTGCCAGTAGAGCTAAAAGCTCCATGGATCATGGAGTTGGATCTGGCAAATAATAAAATTACAGGCACTATTCCATCATCTATGTGCCAATTGACTCGTCTGGTACGGTTGGATCTATCAGGGAACAGTTTGACAGGAGATGTTATGCAGTGCTGGAAGGAGTCAGATAACAATTCTTCAGTGTCCAGCTTAATCTCTGCAGATCAATTTGGTTCCTCAATGTATAATCTAGCTTTGAACAACAATGATCTCTCAGGTGAATTCCCTAAATTTCTTCAGAGGGCCTCACAATTGATGTTCCTGGATCTTTCATACAATAGGTTATTTGGATCATTGCCAAAGTGGTTACCAGAAAAAATGCCACACTTGGAAATCTTGAAGGTGAGATCAAACATGTTTAGTGGTCATATTCCTAAGAACCTTACTTGCCTTGAAAGTCTTCATTATTTGGACTTGGCCCATAACAATATATCAGGAGGCATACCATGGTCGCTATCAAACTTGAAAGCAATGAGGGGAGTGTCTAAGAATGTGATAGACTATGTTTATGTGCACAGCATGTCAGTAATCACAAAAGGCCAAACACGTGAATATAAATTTCAAACCTACCATCTACTGGTGTATATTGATATTTCATGTAACAGTTTAACAGGACATATTCCAGAGGAGATAAGTTTGCTCATCAGGCTCACCAGTCTGAATTTATCAAGTAATCAGTTGATAGGCAAAATCCCAAATCAGATTGGTGATCTAAAGCAGTTGGAGTCCCTCGATCTGTCCTACAACAAGTTTTCTGGTGAAATCCCATCGGGTTTGTCGGCTCTAACCTCTCTGAGTGACTTGAGCCTATCACACAACAACTTATCAGGCGCTATCCCATCCGGGCCGCAGCTGCAAGCTCTCGACAACCAGATGAACATCTACATCGGCAACCCCCATCTATGTGGCTACCCTCTCTCCAAGAACTGCTCTGCTAGTACTATTGATGCAGAGCAAAGTGTCAACCATGAAGATGCAGATCATATCGCGTATCTCTACCTTGGGATGGGCATAGGATTTGTGACCGGCCTTTGGGTTGTGTTCTGCACCATGTTATTGAGGAGAACCTGGGCGATTGCCTACTTTCAGATCATTGACAAGCTGTATGATGAGGCTTATGTGCGAGTTGCTATAACTTGGGCTCACCTGATGAAGAAAACCCATGATGACGCAACGTGAGGAGCCCGTAGCAGGTGCAGCTCAACTGCTCAAGACTTGTATGTTAGTACTTTGTAATTTGAAGACTAAGCACTACTATGGTGTGTGTACTGCTACTACGTACTAGTTTCTGGTGCTATTATGAGTTACCTGTGAAGGGGTACTTAATGTACTGTAGCACGGTATATTGTATGGGCTGATTGGAGCGGAAATGCAAAGGAGCGCTCGTCCTCGCCTGGTCACGGTATCCTCTACCGTTCCTTTGTCATCTGGATCAGACATATTGTACGTTTGTGGGGCAGAGCTCAATTTAATGTTGCACCAAGTTGGCCCAGACGGCGCAATAACTTCGCCGCTGTGGCGCTGGACCTAACGGCCGGCTCCATCTTATACCCGCGGCCCAGTTCCAACTCAGGGGAAGGATCTCGTCATGCGCCATCCATTAGTTATGTACGAGCTGGAGCTATAGCTGGGGCTTGGAGGGGCCATTGCTCGCCTGGTCGTCTATGCCCATCGTGATGGTAGCTCTTATTTTTATTTTTATTTTGTGGGGGTAATGGTAGCTCTTGTATGCATGAAACAACACAACAGTCCATCAGTCTGCCGCTTTTTCCTCCCAATGAGGTTCGAAAAATCAAACATTTGAATTCCAATCTACTTCCCACTCTCCCGTCCAGCCAGACTCAACAAATGGAACCATCAACCATGGATCCATGGACGATTTTTGTGAAAACCAGTCCCACAATTGGAAGAAAATTAATGTGCTGACAGATAGCACAACAGAAAGAAAAAAACAGGCGAGTTTGCATTCCCAGATTTCTTTCCCCAAGACTGCCAGGAAGCAAGTATTTTTCTAAATTTTCCATTTGCGCACAACAAAATTTTATAAACGTGCCATTATCAAGAAAACATTTCTTTTCTTAAAGTTGCCATCTGACCATGCCAATTTCTGTAATGCATGTGTTTTTTTTTTGGCATTGTACCGTGGTAACTTAAAAATATATTGCCATGGAAACTTCCTGTAGTTTTAGTTTAGATTACTATGCAATATTTGCCGTATACATATTTTTATTCTGTTGTGGCCCATGTCAAATTCATGTAGAGGGTTCTTCTTTTTTTAGTTACTATGTCCGTTTGTCGCATACACATTTTCCATTTTTCTGTGGTGAACCATGGCATTTTTTTGCCGGTTACTTCATTTCATAAACATAATTTTTGTTTTTCAATTTTGCCATGTGAACGGTGCAATTTTTTTCCTAAACATTCCATGTGACGATGATACCATTTTTTTAGCATATGCAATTTTTGGTATTTGGACTATGGCAATTTCATTGTATATACCATGAGAATTTTATTTAACATATCACTGTCAAATTCTTTTTGGATACCATGGCAAATTTATATTACATCGTCCGCGGCAGCCACAAATACCGAGGAAGGGAAAGGACCAGAAAACCAGGGCGGAGGTAGTACTAAATATGCAATGATTTTTGAACACGAAGAACATTTTTGAACAGACATGTAGAGATATTTATTGAGTACACATGAACTTTTTTTACATCCACAAACATTTCCTTGATGTACGTGAACATTTATATATTTTAGCACGTGTATTTTAGCCAAAAGAATAGACAAACTGAAAATAAAATGTAAATACGACCAGATAAAAATAATAATAGAGCATTTTCTCCACAAGATTTTTTACAAAGTGCATTGCTAGCTTTTTCTACTTTAGATTAGAGGAAGTGGGTTGCTAGCCTTTGTTTTACTCACGAAAAGAAAAATACTACTCATGAACAGCCCACCGAGATGTTCACTGACGTCTTGTCAGCTCTCCGTTACAGCGCCTGCCCATGCCGTCGTTTCCACGTACGGCCCCACACCCGTGTGCATGCGTTTTCTGGTGTGCAAACTCACCTGCGTCTCTGCGAGCAGTAAATGCCATCTCCAGCATGGTGGTGTCCCATTGGTCCACAAAGCAGGAGCAGGCGAGCTCGTCCACCATATCGCCACTCTCCTGATTGGAGTGAAAAATTTTATAAGATGTCTTGTTCTGTAAACTCACTATTCTAGTTGGATTGTAAACAGTCTATCCCAGTGAATAGAGTACATACTATGTGCAACAACAACGATGAGCCTTTTGTATCTTGGCCACTAATTAATTAAGTCACATAATAGACTCCCATTGTCAGTGCTCAGTTGTATACTCAGATGGCATGAACAAGTCCCTGCTGTTACCCTAGTCGATGCATGCAGATGCCAGGTGCATGTTCTGATGATGCGATAGAACATAAGCAATGGCACAATAAAGAGAGAAGCAATGGCAGGTTCAGTAATGCCATTAACGTATGTACTTCTTTACTGGTTACTGATTGTGCAAATGAAACCTTGCACTTTCATCAGTTCATCTTTATCGCATAATGTTTATATAGCGCGTTGACCAAAACCTGAGCCTGAAATCTCCCCGTTCACCCATTTAGTCACAAACTGTCCAGCGACAGCTTATGATCAGGATTCTCAGTTTGTTGTTCTGTTGATAAGGCTAGTCTCCCAATCGCACAGGACATGGCTGAGGAGTGCGGAAAGCTCTGTGGTGGTGACATGATTATTATCTGAACAACAGAGTGGGCTTCCTGGTTTGTCTGCGGTCTATGTTGCTGCCAGCACTTATGAAGGAGACACTGTCGTTTTCTTTCTATAGGTCTGCAGGTCCGTTGATCTCTCTAACCTTTGTTTCACCCTGATTCAGTATTTGGCCAGTAGTCATGAAGGCTGCTTCTCAGCTTACATGGGCAACACACTGTACTTGATGCAATGCAAGAGCGCTGTAGGTACAAGTATGCAGTTAGATCTTCAGTTCAGTCTGACGCTTTATACAGTAACTTGCGCAACTGTATGTGACCTCAAGGGAAGTTGTTAACTTTGTGACGATGATCTTCAGTTCAGTCAGACACGATGTTTGACGAAAGAGTTACACCCGTGGTCTATGAGAAACGAGCAATCACATCAATATGATATGGAGACACGATGATTTTGTTTTGGTGTTGACATAGTTCAACCGAATCCTACATCTTGGGGATCCCGAACTCGGATATCCATTCGACATCTCAAAGTCGTAATGCACGAACCTCCTGCATGTACTTTGGACTTGAGTTTCACCTTGGGTTTCACTGCTACTTGCTGACTAGGAATGAGAAATGATCATGGATTCAGATCGATGCTCCTCCATCTTTGGTCTCATCAGTGTTTGATTCATTGTATTCCTTCATCTTTTTTTCTCCTTATGCGTGTTGACATCCACATCCAGTTGGGCTTCGGGCGCAACTGATGCACTGCTCTTTTTCTTTGCAGTTTACCTAACCCTTGCCGTCGCGGACGCGCTCTGCTTTTTCTTTTTGGCGAGTAACCGAGCTAGAAGGTTGACGCCCCAGCTTCCATACCGATTGCCTCTGTGGTTCGTCCCAATGCGTGTTGACATCCCTAGCCACGGAATTCCTTTCAACAAACGAAGCTAGCCTGACGCGCAAAAAAAAAAACAGAGCAGTCTTCTCGCTCGCATATGCACCAAGAAAAGCAGAGCGCCGTCAGTTAACTCTTTAACATTGAACTCAAGAGTGTTCGTGTCAGATATGCGAGTTGATATTATCATGTTTGCTCTGATTTCATTTGTTTGAAAGCAGTATTGATGAGGGCTGCTGGTATATATTATACATCTTGTATTAACGGCTTGATTTTATTTTGACCTCTTTCATGTGCAAATGGACAGAAATGCAGCGGCGACTGGGGTTTGGCTGAAACTGATATGCTGCTCTGTTTCTTTGCAGTTTGCCAAACCCTTGCTGTTGCGGACACGCTCTGCTTTTTCTTTGTGGCGAGTAACGGAGCTAGAAGGTTGACACTTCAGTCTCCAAACCGATTGCCTCTGTGGTAACATGTAACATCTACACTCGATGGGGCTGTCACTGACTGAATGTTGTGCAATGTGCTGCTTGCAGATGCGGCATGTTGAATGCGGTGGCAATGGTCGATGCCCTTCGATTCTCGGGCCACGACAGGGACGTGTAAATAAGGCGACGATGTACGGGGAGGCATGGAAGGACCCTCTGAAGGAGACGGTGGCGCCGGATGGGTAGCAGGAACACCGACTATTTCTTCAGTGTTTTGTCCTGTGTCTATTTCTTCAGTGTTCACCATTTTCTTAGCCTGCACTGCAACTAGCTCATTCTGCCACCACCGGCCATTCCAGGGAGGAGTCTCGGCTCCGGCCGCTCCTACTGCCACATATCATCATATAAGGCACTATTATAGTGTCAAGAAACGTCTTATATTTTGATACAGAGGGAGTAGGTAGGATCTGCCTTGAAACCATACTTGGGTTAACCTGCCAAATTGAATACCATACTCGGGTTAACCTGCTAAATGTACTGTTAGTTAGTTGATTCACAGAGCTGAACTGCTGGGTTTCAGAGAGCTGAAAATTGATAAATGCTAGTGAAACTTAGTAAAATGATGCATAGATTCAGAGAGATGAATTGTTGGGTTTCTTTCATCTTAGATAAATTGCCGGTTGATGATGCGGTCTACTAGGGACGGTTAAATCGAATTAGGATTGCACTTTTTAATGCCACTAGCATATGCTTCACTCTGTTGAATGAGGGTGCTACTGTTTGGACTTTGAGTGATCAGCTGAACTGTAGGTGTGATGGTATCTTTTTAATACTAGAAGTTTACTGAGTGCCGAGTGATATTTATGATGCAAATCAATTTTTCATAGTAGCGAGTGATAAGGCCAAAACGAAAATAGAGATGCTACTGCTGCTGCCACTAGCATGTTTTAAGTATCTGGAAGGAAATTATTCCATCTCTATCTCACAAATACAAAAAGAAGCAAGTCAGATCCGTTCGTAGTGCCCTAGTCCTATTGTCATCCATCCATTGGTGGTGCTCAAGCCGGACTGTTTGTTGAGCGAGTCTTTGATTGAAATGGTAGTGCCCTGGTCCCATGGTAGATGCTGAGCATG